CTGGACTTTTCTACATAAAAGTTCACTTTTCAATTGAAAACTGAGAAAAACTTTAACCTTTAACCTTACATTCTGCCAAGGCGGGACAATCCACACTCCTCTGAGTAATGATCCCTCCACCGTCCTCTTCTTCTTGTTCTCCTTCAGCCTCTTTGACATCTTTCTCCTCCTCCTCTGGCTCAGTGACCAGCTCAGTCTCAGGAAAGAGGAGCGGGGAGGGTGTAACAGGAGACCCTTCTAGACAGAGACGGACAAGTTTAGTCTTTCTAGTGATGAGAAATGACGGTCATAATTCTCTTAACTCAGGGAAAAGGATTATGGACCACTTCTCTTTTTATCCATCGCTTTTCTAAATATAGATACACTCTGGATCAGATCGGCTGCCCACTAAAGGGCTAACACCCATTTTACAATCACCAATTAATCTAAATGTACCGAGGGCTGTGAAATTACTCAAATATTATTTTCAATTACAACCTTAGCTTCCATCAATTAATAAAAGGTTTATTGTGCTGTTTTATGATTTTGAACTCATCACATTTCTTTACTTTTGCCTCTTTATAAAAATCCAAATTCACTCCTTTCATTTTTTTTTTACTCTAAATTCATTTTATGTATTCATCTACTAAAATTTCAGAACCAGATTTCTTCTTTGGAAGGTTTAATGAACACAATCATTAAACTCAACACTGAAAAAATGTGATTACGATTTTTGCAGCTCCAGTAAATATCCCCCACACACACCTTGGCTGCAACACTCCTTCTTGTGAGATTGTTTCCAGTGGAGGGTCTGGTGGTGTTTTCCACAGTAGGTCACAGTGTGGCACCGAGAGCAGGCTTTGTTACCGGGGCATCCGCACACCCAACACAGTTTAACTCCCGAAACGGGCAACACACTCTGGCCCTCCTCAGCATCACAGGGTGGTTCATCCTCTAAAGGGAAGATGATAATTTTATATTTGTTGATATACAGTTTTGGTCAAAGGTTCACATACATACACATTTTTATACTCCACACAGGGTGAAAAGTATAGTATAAGGTTCAAATATATACATACACACTCTGTATATTTTGTTAAATGTTCTTTAGCAAATTGCACCTCAACCAGAAACTTTTGGTAGCTGGAAGGAACATCCAAGTGTGACAAAGTGGTTAAACTGGTATTCTATTCCTTCATTATTTCATCCACTTTGTGGAACCACCAGCACTACTAACAACAAAACAGTCCCAGAGTATGATGCTACCACCACCATATTCTTCTACAAATACTCAGAAATTGAATCTTGAATACTTCATTAAGAGTTAGGCAGCAAAAATTCACAAACCTGCTGGAGGGTCATAGGGGTAGAACTCGTTCCTCCTCTGTAACTGGTTTCTGAAAACTGGCATGAAGGAAAACACAGCTTTTTAAGAAATACTGCAAAATCTATTGAGAAAAATTAGTAGAATCAGACAACATCTCACAACATCACCCCTGGGAAGTGACAGACATCAAACAGTGAAGAACTACCTTTCATGCAGCGGCTGTCATTTCGCGTGTAGCACTCTGGAGTTTTGCAGCAGAAGAGAAAGAGCGTTCGGTGAAAACTTCTGTCCTGACCGGATATTGGTGCATACACCTGCAACAAGTCAGGTAAATCTAGTATTTATTTATTTATAGTGAATAAGGCTGAGGTGGGATGCAGAAGTTAAATTGGAGTTGACCCAGATTTGAGTATGTGTGCACTTAGGTATAGGGTGGGTGTGTGTGTGTGTGTGAGAGAGATCAGGCTTGTAAAAAGTACTTAATTAAAGTTGAAAAATACTCACACATTGTACACCACCTGAGTAATATGTTCAGATTCTTATATCAGAATATATATCAATAACCAGCCGGCTAATGAAGGTCTAGTACCTAAACCATGCAATTAAATATATTTTGGGGGATTCTAATTTATTAAGGATATATTTCAGTATGTACCTTTTTAGGAGGCTTATAAAATACAAATGTTTGATATGTGTGCCACTTTCCTTTCTTTGTGTTTATGCTGCTAAAAATGTTGTGTTAATATGTTTACTGTTTGTCTGTGAAGGTTCTCAGTCATCCAGGTCATCGTAGTCAAAGGAGCTTGCAAAGAAAAGCGTCTGGACTTCTTTAAGTTTACTGTTTAACTCTTTATACAGGACACCAAAACTGTAGTCTAAAAGTTATTTCAGTCTTTATATTATACTGTCAGCACATCTCTCTATACCACAGTACAGTGAAGTAAATATTTTTATGAAGTAGGATAACATGGCTCCTGGAGATTCACCTGCAGCAGGAAAACCATAGGCAGACGGCATATCTCACACTCCAGTCCGGGCAGAGAGGGCAGGCCTCTCTGGCTGAGCCACGCCGGCTTCCCTCCGACTTTACTCGGGAACTGAGGAGACCGAAGCCGCCACGGCTCCGCATCCTCCAGGAAACCCAGAACTACCTCCGCCGAGGACATACTGGTATTACAGAATATTTAACGAACAGACTCTAACCCTTACTAACGGAGCGTCTTCTACATCTCACAACCAAAACACATGCTGCTACAGTTCTGAAACTCGTCCGTGAGGAAACACAGCCCAGACTTTTGTTCCGTGGGCCTCGAAACTGTCACTCTGTTGGTAAATACTCATAAATATATGATAGTGCTTGGTGGCTTGAATTAACACGTTTGACTGCTATTATACAAGTAGAGTTTTAATATGTTTTAATAAGTTTAACTTTAGTTGTATTTTGTTGTGTCCACCAGATGGCGCAAATGTCACACCTGTAGTCTAAAAAGTTTTACAAAAAGTCACGTTTGAATAATATAATTTCACGTTATTACAATATACATAATTATAACGTTCGTACATTATAATATTTATATTGTACTTTTCACGTTATAACGTGATATAGCTCTATTTTTCTTTCCCGAGGCTCCCCTCAATATTTATATTTTGCTTTAAATTGGAATTGGAGGGACTATGCTAGGAGGCTATTTCAGCTGTCATAAGGCTGGAATAGCAAGGCTAATAAGTAAGGCTAATAAAGCAAGAGGCAGAGGGGGGGAAAAAAAGAAAAAAAATCCCATCCATGTTCTTAAGACACAGTTCTCTGGGTTTTCTGGGGGTCTTTCAAAGTTTTTGTTAAGCTACTTAACACTTCCCTATGAGTCAGGCAAGCATAAAAACAACAGAATACAAGGGATGAATCAATGTTGTGTCTGGCCCTTCATCCACGCACTGTTCACTAATGCCTCATTCATTCATTCTCATTCTTAAGAAGGGGAAATAAGGGGGGGTTAAGGCAGAGGTATTAATAATTACACAAGAACTGGACTCAAAATCAGTAGCAGCGGATCTGATGGAGTGATGAATCATCATCAATGGAGGAGTTCAAGAGAGTTGAATGTCTACAGCCAACTGTAAAACACAGTGGAGGTACTGTTATGTTTTACAGCTGCATTTCAGCCTTGGTGTTGGGATCTTGTCAAAATTGATGAAATTATGAACGCAGAAAAGCACCATCGGTTTTGAAAAGCATCTGATTGGTAGCAGCTACAGTTCTTTTCTTTTTTTTTAGCATAGTAATGATCCCACTAAAAATGCAGCATATGCATACCTGGATAGAAAAACACACAATAGTCTCCCCAGAACCTGGACCCTAACATTACTGAAGAAGTGTGGGATCATTCAGTTCAGTTAAATTTTATATAGTGCCAAATTGCAACAGTCATCCCATGGTGCTTTATAACTATTTTAAGGTGAAGACCTTACAATAATACAGAAGGAAACAACAAAAATCAGATGACCCTCTATAGACAAGAACTTGGTGACAGTGGGAAGGAAAAACTCCCTTTTAAGACAAAGAAACATCCAGCAAAACCAGGCTCAGGGAGGGGCAACCGTTTGGGGGTGAGAGGAAGGGGACAGGACAAAAGACACACTGTGGAAATGAGCCAGATATTAATTATAAGTAATGATTAAATGCAAAGTGGTGTATCAATACACAGAAAGTGAAAAGAGATGAGTGAAAAAGAAATGCTCAGTACATCGTGGGAAGCCCCCATCAGCTTAGACTTGGTGTAAATAAGGGAGGGTTCAGCATCACTTGATCGTCTTGACAGAAAATGGAACAAAAGGCAGCCAATGTCCAAAAAAGAACTTTGAATGTCCTACAAGAAGCCTATAGAACTATTCTTGAAGACCACTTAAAGAAATCACAAGACTGCTAAAGTCAGACTGTGAAGAAAAGTCACACCAAATATTGACTTTCAACTCATTACAATTGGACAAAACTTTTCCCCCCTCATATACTGTGTATCCATGTGTGTGTGTATATATATATATATGCAAACCACAAGGCATTTGTGTCTCTGTGAACTGGGGATCTTTTGTTCCTCTATGTTTGACTTCAGTTTGTTTTTAAGTTCCAGTAGTAAAGTACATAATAGGCTACCAGTAAACCAGCTTTGCTGTGGTGTGATAAGATGTGGTATGCGATTTGCAGTAAGTACTCCAGAATAGACAAAAAGAAGAGAAAACCACATACCATGGTTTTCATTTCAAAAAATGAAAATAAAGATGTTAGACTATAATGCTGATATTTCATACAAGGAAAACGCCACTATAATGCTTGATGAAAGCAGCAGAGCATTTTCAAAAGAAAGAAAACAAAAGCAACAGGAAAAAAAGAGGGAAAAAATAGATCAAATTTCAGTCTATGAAACCATCGTCTACTACTTTTTTTACTTAGTTAACACCAACATCAATCTAAACCTTAATGGATTTGTAAGACATCCGAAGAGTTTGTCCTCCGAAGAGTTGCAAGTCCATACAGTGTGAGTGCGTGCAACCGCTATGTGTCCCCACAACACCTGTAATCCAAGCACACACACACACACACACACACACACACACACACACACACACACACACACACACACACACACACACACACACACAGAGGCACCGTGATGTCACTGAAGGGGAGTTAGCGGCGGGTCTGTCCGTTGGACGTCTGGACGGACATAGACTCAGACCAGCGGCCAACGTTAATTCATCCTCCGCTCTTAGAATCGGACTCTCATTAATAATTTAATAAATCATGACGCTTAAAGGGGCTGTGTTGGGTGAGCCTCGGGTCCAACCTTGGTGATTTAACCATGGTAACTAAAAGGAAGAGGGCTTCGGCTACCACATAAAGTCAGTTGACAAACTGTGGCGGACGTTAACGGAAGAATGGACGGAGTGAAAACTGGCCCTCAACAGGACTGAACCTCCCGCCCGGGTCTCCTCGGGCTCCATGTCACCCTCCTCTCCGTGCCAGATGCCCCAGCGGGGCGATGGCTGCTACAAGCCGGCACCGGTGTCCCCTGCTCCGCCTGTGCCCCCGCGGAGGGTCCGGAGCCGGGACAGAGGCTCGGGCAGGACGCGGCGATCCGCGGCAGGGTCAGCGGGAGCCGGAGCAGCGGAGAAGCGGGTGAAGTGCGTCCTGGTCGGGGACGGGGCTGTGGGGAAAACCAGCCTGGTGGTCAGCTACACCACCAACGGCTATCCAACCGAGTACGTCCCGACTGCGTTTGACAACTTCTCAGGTAAAAAATAGGAGAAACTCATGACATGGTTCATAGGATCCAATAAATCCAATGATCTAAGTTTCAGTTCATCAAGTGTTAGAAATGATATCTTTGGCTTTAATGATCCTATTTCACACAGCCACAGTTTTGCCTACTAGATGCTGTCTCAAGGGATTGATTTATGTGTTTACTTGACTTATTTAATATATTAAATATTTTAATTCATATTCTTTTAATTTTTTTTATCATACTGACTTTTTTGCCAGTTTGTGTTGTCATCAAAGTCAAAGTTTGTCATTTTATTACAACAGTAAACTTTACATTGGTGATACTAACCTCAAGATGATGTGCGTGTGTGTGTGTGTGTGTGTGTGTGTGTGTGTGTGTGTGTGTGTGTGTGTGTGTGCATGTGTGCATGTAGCGGTGGTATCAGTGGACGGGCAGCCAGTTAAACTACAACTCTGTGACACAGCTGGACAGGTCAGTGACCTCTGTACAAACTAACACTAGACACTCAGAGGGCAGTGTTTCCTGTTGTTCTTTTTTTAAATTCATGTTGGACACAATGCCTCTCCCAAGGAAATCATTCTTTCTTACTTTCTTGCCTGTCTGAGTAGCATCCAGTAAGACAAATGCCTTTTTTTTTTTGCCTGAGCTACAAAGGAAATGGGAGGGAAGAGGGGTAAGACGTGCTAAAGAGGCTGCATTGAAACAGGACAATGCACGTCCTAGCCCTAGTCAGTGGGATAACATGTAAACAGGTTAAAACATGAAGTTCATTAGGTTCTACATTGCAGGGATGTTTCATAGATGACAGGAACATAGATTAGGATTACTCACAGACTAAAGATAAATCAGTGTTTTGTGTATCTCTAGGTCTTTCCTTGGAATAACTCTCTGGCACACAGGAAGTGATGTAATTCTGTCTACATTTGCGAAGGAGTAGATGTTTGTTTGAAGATAGTGGAAGATGTAGAACACTGTGATAAGCTACAACTGGTTAAACATCAAACAGAGGGTATATGCTGATAGAGATAAAACAAATATGGTAAAACAAAATCACCACACATGCAGTATAATCACATAATCATGCACCAGAGTTATTATAGTCTTTTTTTTTCTAATGAGTTTTTATTTTTACTTCATTTTGACTTTTTGTTTTTAATTCAGTTTAGTTTCAGTAAGTTTCCAGAGTGGATTTTCTTATTTCAGTTTAGTTTTTATTGTTCAAAAATGTTTAGTTTTAATTTATGTTTTATTAGTTTCAGTGTTAGTTTTTTAAGCATTATTTTTGAGGGCATAATAATAATAATCAGAGGCAAGATTTAGGAAAATTACTATAGGCATAACAAAAAACCCCAAAACATTTTAACTCACAGTCAGCTCACAGTCTTGTAAATAGAGTCTCAAAAAAAACAAGTCTATCAGTGACTCATCAGGCAAGTTGTAATACATTTATTTGATCCAAAGTAACAAATACTCAAACATTAAAACTAAAAATGGACATTTCCTCTATGTTTTTATTTTATTTTTGTTAGTTTAAGTTTACAAAATCATTTCATTTGGTTCTAGTTTTTATTTTTATTTTAGTTTCACATCTAGTTTTAGTTTTTAAGTTTCGTTTTAGTTAGCTGTAATAACCTTGACATGTAACATGTAAAAAACATTATAATCACCATTTTTCAGCTCACTTCAGCTGTATTTATATGTAAGACAGTTTGTAGTATCTGGAAACTGCAACCATCAGCTGATGCCCTATGAGAAAGGATTTGGTGAAAATGGGGAGAAAGAACTTATTTTTAGCAGGAAGAGAAACAGTAAAGTAAATCAGTAAGTAAAAGTTTATTTATATAGCACTTTTCACAGACATATGTCACAAAGTGTTTCACAAGAGAGGTAACAAAAACTCAATACAATCACAAATACATCATAAAAGCCCTGGTCTAATTAAAAGCTTTTTGAAATAAAAATGTCCTTAGCTGCTTTTTGAAGGTCTCCACAGAGTCTGAACGCTGTAGAAATATAGGAAGTGCATTCCACAGTCTGGATGCAAGGAAAGGTCAGTCCCCTCAAGCTCTGAAATGAGTGTGGGGGAACACCGTGGTCCCCCGGAGGTTACGAGAGAGGTGTATATGTGAATCAAATCAGCAATATAGGGAGGGGCCTGTCCATGTAGTGCTCTAAAGGTTAAAACAAAAATTTTAAAATGCAACCTAGATCTGATTAGTAGCCAGTGAAAGTGGTAGCCTTCTGGTACAACCAGATAAAGAATGAGGGGAAAGAGAAGAGTAAGGAGAAAGGAGGAACAGACAAACAAAAAACAGCAGAAAATACAAACTCTGGGAGAGAGAAGACAAACATTAATGACATGTAGCATCATCAGTTGTACAATCACCCTGGTTCTATAGCAAATGGCAAGAAACAAAAGTTAAACCTGCACTTCCAGAGAAAAGTGCACTGCTGGGATAATATGGTAGATTATCACTACAATGATCAGCTGCCCTCAAAAACAGTGGGACATTGAATGAGAGAGGAAAGATAAAGTTGGAGATCAAGGAAAAACAGAAAGACAATTTTTAGGTTTTGATAAAATGTGCTTCTCAAACTTTTTCTGATAGGCTTCACCCCAGAAGCAGAAATAAAGTTCACACTCTTCTACCAATTATTATCTATCATGAACAGTAAAATGGGATCTGAGGTGAACTTTAATAAACTAAAGGTTAGCATGATAGCTTAAGTATGCTATATATTAAAACCAAAATCACATTAATTGAACATTGTGTTACTCCTAGTCCTCATCATCCCACCTGCAGTGGGGCCCGTCCTTTAGTTTAAGAACCACTGCCTTGAAGCAGAGGTAGGCAGTGATGAATCACAGTATCTCTGTGTGAACACTCTCGGTCTCTCACAACCTTTCCAGGATGAGTTCGACAAGCTGCGCCCTCTGTGTTACACCAGTGCAGATGTGTTCCTGCTGTGCTTCAGCGTCGTCAGCCCTGCCTCATTTCAGAACGTTCCTGAGAAGTGGGTACCAGAGATTCGGAAACACGCCCCCTTTGCGCCGCTGGTTCTTGTCGGGACGCAGTGTGATCTCAGAGAGGATGTCAAGGTGTTGATTTTTATTCTGTACATAAATCACAATTTATGTAATTCTATTGCCTGTTTCTCTCTCTTATCATTCTTATCATTGTGTAAACCAATGACACCATGCACAAACTAAATGGAAGCGTTATTATAGTTATTGCACAGCTTGGTTGTGAATCTAGAATTAAACTGTAACATTTTGAAGGTTATGACGTTCAGCTGGTGTTGATTCTCTTGTAGAGAAATATTTATTCACCTTTATGGTCATTTTGGCAGCCTTAGTTATACCACTGTCGAGGTTTATACATTTTGTCTGCTCCATTTAAATCAGTCAGGGTAGAGTAAATATTAGAAACACAGCATCGTTCAGCAGCACCACAAACTGGAGCCTCGTAAATGTCCAAGTCTCCGTGCTGTCTGGATGTTTTTTTGTGACCACAGAGAAGAGTTGTCGCAATGTCACAAGTTGGTAATGTTACAACTTTCGACATTATGACCAAATGCAATTTTGGCATTGCATAATGTGTTTGTAGGAAAAAGCACATGCATGTATACTCAGGGGCTGTAGCTGTTTGGATTATAAAACCTTTTTGTGCAACTTACCCAGTGCATAAAAACGCTAAAGCCTGTACAGATGCATCTTTCCTGTCTCCTCAACTGATTGTGTGCTGAGGTCAGTACTGTCACTTTACAGCAAGCAGGTTCCTGCAAATGTGTTCCTGCTATACATCAGTGTTGTCAGATTCTAATCTTTCTGGCTTCGTCCCACAGTAAAAAGATATGTGAGTTTAACTGGCAATTCTAAAATTGACCATGGATGCAATTTACCCTTAATGAAAGTATGAAGATGCAATCTGATATCAAAGCGTGTAATAAACACGCTGGTCCACCGTGTCCATTTTCATGTCCACTTCATGTTTTGACTGTCGTAGATTTCACGTTTTTGCTTACACGTTTTTCGATGATGCTGGGTATATATATATATCTGTTGTAGTCTAAAGCACTTTGAATGATCAGTACAAATGTCAGTCCATTTCCAGCAAGTAGCAATTGGAAAAAACACAAGACTAATTCATTTAAGAAAAAGAGACAAACAAGAGCTTAGACGAAAAACATACAAAACAGGCAAAAAATGTAAAAAATTATAAAAAGGAAGACTAAAAGCAGGCAATACAGATTAAGAGGACCGAAAAGGGAAAACAATAACTAACTCTGTGAGAAGGATCTCCTCAGGCCGGTGCTCATGTAAACATGCAGTCACCCTCTTGACTTTAAAACAGCCACAAGGGCCACACCTGGATCTACTTTTATGCTGTATGTCTTTCCCCCATAAAGATGAGATTTGACTCTAATAGGCATCCAAGGGGGAAAGAGATATAACTTAAAGTCAGATCCAGATATACCTTAAAAGGCTCAATTAAAATGTAAAAAGCAATTCTAAGACAAATAGTATTGGGGTGATGTGATGCTATTTGCTTAAACTAGTAAGTATATTTATTTCATATTTTTGTAATTTTCTTTAGGTCCTCATTGATCTGGCGAAGTACCGTGAAAGACCCGTGGACCCAGTGGATGCCCAGGACTGTGCGATGGAGATTGGAGCAGTGGCCTACTTAGAGTGCTCTTCGCTGACCCAAAAAAATCTCAAGGAAGTGTTTGACACAGCCATATTGGCCAGCCTGCAGAACTACAGCTCCCATAAGCACCAAAGGGGGAAAAAGAAACGCAGAAAAAAGCAAAGACAGACACCGGACAAGATGAAAAGTCTGTCAAAGTCGTGGTGGAGAAGGTACTGTTGTGTGGCTTAGAGGAGACTTTATTCTTGTCTGATTCAGCTGGGTTTTAGTTGACAAGCACAGAAAGGTGGTTTTCTCTTTAAAAGGAGACGGATACAGGACCTCTCCTGGACTGCGGCTGGGAAGTGTCACAGATGTAAAATATTTTGTTTTTAGCCCCCATTCTGGATTCTGGATGAGATTTACTACTGAGCCTCCCTGCAGGAGAAGGTGGTGCTGTGTCTCCTGGAATTAAACTGGCATGAACCAGTTCTATTGTGGGACTAGCAGAAGATGTGATAATATTGTTCAGGATTAGACTGGTACAGATTTGAACAGGAACTTGGAACTGTGTTTTCTCTGGAGTTAGATCCAACCTATAATGGATTTATGCAGCCTGGTTACAAACCCTGGAGGGGAACTGGACTGTCTTCAGAATATAATTGTTATTATTGGTGGCTTAAAAACTGTGCGTCCAATTCCTGGTCCTTTTTTTAAATTGCTTCTAAATTTAGTCTGGTTTCAGATGCCCATGATTAGAAAGAACTGCTAACTGAAATAGACCGGACCAGACCAAACGTTGTCATTTTGGAGTTTCTGACCCAGACAATGATCAGTGGCTATAATTATAGTCAGAACAAGTCCAACCCTCAGTTAATTTTAGAGCTGCTTTTTATAACTGGGGCCATTGTTATTCATAATGAAAAAAAAAACTTTATTAAACTGTTAAGTATTTCCTGGTGACACACATGTTTAGTCTATAACCTGGATCAGGTTTTCCCCTTTTATTATAGTGCTGATCTGGACAATTATGCTGTTAGATCTGGCATGAAATTAAGCATAGTTTTCAGCGTGTCCTGACAGAAAAAGGTTCGGTGAGGCTTAGGCTTTGGATAGGTGCCAATCATGTCTTTCTTCTTGTGCTTTGATCAAAAGTGAGATTTCAAAGAATAAGGAGCCAGATAATGAAGAAAAAATCATAATATGTTAAAAAGCATGTCTGAATATCCACTGCTCTCTAATAGCAAGTTGTATCTTTAGTCAAGAAGATACAACCTGGATCCAGGACTCAGTGACCCACTTTGGGTTTCCACTGGTAGCTGTGGTATTTTATCATCTTCATCTAGCCCCCATTATCACTGAAAGACTGAACAATCTGTTAAAATAGAGTGGTACCGGTGTGGCGTGGTTAAATATAAATCTCTGCACTGTGCTGGTGACTGGTGCTTGACCTTAATCGGGCAGGAGGACATTTTGTAATTCATGATCGCATTGTTCCACAAACGAGAACGTTGCTCAGTGCAGTACTCAAGTGGCTCTTTTCACATGGAAATGAAGAATTCAGTTTAAAACTGAGACATTCGAATCTAAATCATCTACAGGCACAAGCTGCAAGGCAGGCAAATAAAAGCCAATTGATGTTAGATATTTGTTCTGCTTGATGTGGGTTTGATTTATCTTTGCAGACACTTAAACAACCTTAACTATGAGCACGTAATGTAATTAAACCCACGCAGTGCTCTTTGCATGTGCTTGTTTCTGTAAGTTTGCAAAAAAAAAAGAAAAAAAAGAAAGTGACTTCACCTTTTTTTTTTAAAAATGCAATTAAGACTGTGAAGTTTGAATTTTCTACTAGCAATGTTAACCATCCGTTTTTCTGCCCTCACTGTTATAGCCAACCCTGTGTTTACTGTTTTCTGTGATAGTGCTTGCAGGCTGTCCTCTCTCAAATAGATGTAGCTTTATGTGTTGTAAAGCAGCAATAAAAACAAAAGTGAAGATGGAAAACATGTGGCTGTCACACACTCAGCTGCCACACCTTCCTTCGTACACCATAGTTACTAAACCGAGAGCACAGACCAGCAGGGTCTGTTTTATTTTTCTTCAGTGTCTCCGTCTAAAAAGGCCCGTTGTATTAAAGTCACTGCAGCAGACAGGAAAGAGCACAATGTTTGTTATGCCATTTTGTAGCATAAAACACAATTATTCATAGAGATCAGACATGAACACTGTCATAGCTGCATTTCAAAATTTGGAAGTTTTATCTAACTTCCCAGTTAAATGTCAGAATTTATTAGAAAAAAAAAGATAACTATATTATGAAAAACAGATTTATTATTTGACTGACGCATTTCAGCTTGCGGCCTTCATAAAACATATCACAGACCAGATTCTAAACAGCACAGAGTAAAAATATATACAAGAGCCAGCATACATATCCACCAATGAGGCACCAAAAAGGATGGCCTGGGCAAATGGTTTAAAGCTCAGGGTCTTAAAATTGTTTAAAAGATTTGATTTAATGACATATTTTCCTTCTTGTATTGTTAGTGACATAAAAATAACTGAGGCTGTGGATGTGTGAAGTTACAATGATATCAGGCCCATGTAAGATGTAACTGACAGGTATTTTGGCTTTTAAGCGTGGTGTGAAAACCTTGTACAGTTCTCAAAAATAAGCATTTTCCCCCAAAGAACTACCCCGCATCACATCTGTGGCCATTGGGTTCTTTACTGGTGTGAAGCAGAGTAAGCCATGTTGTGCCTGGGAAGTTCAATTCATTTTAATAATGAGACTTTTATTTAGATTAAAATATCCACAGTTTGGAATCCACGTAGTGTTTTCTGTCAGAGTTGCATATTTTCAGCCAATTAGTAAATTACACTCTTGTGCTCATTTTCAGCTTCATAATTATTCTTGGACTCTAGAGTAGCTTTGCATGAGTCACAGTTCAAAATAATCCTTATGTTTCTTGCACTGGGCCTTCTGTCATCTTCTGTCTGAAACAAACTGTTTTTAGGCCCTTTCAACCTTTTTTGGATTCCTCTTGTAAACAGAAGGTCTGAAAAGTTTGGCAGGTGGGTGGAGCTTCTGTGCTCAGAAATTACCATATTAAAGTCATCACCTCTCAGTGACATCATAAAGATCCAAGAGTAAAAAAACAGCCTCAGCCTTTGGGCTCACAGGGATATCTGATGTCATTATTTGAAAATTTGCCTGTGTTTAATACGACCATCCATGAGTGTAACAGTTGATGTATAACAGAAAATAAGAAAAAGCAAAACAGATCAGCTTTAGAATGGGTTTTACTAGAGCTGCTTGGTAGCTTTCTATTGAAGATGTTACAGTGGAGACTGAATGGTTTCACTGTTTCACGGTGTTTTAGGCTTGATAGCAAACGCATTGTTTCTTGCAGGGGAAAAGGCATAATAGGTTACTTGTCTTGCTGTTTGTGTGCAGTCTTGGCTGATGGTGCAGTAAAGTAGGCTAAAGGTCATGCAGAGTCTTTATCATAGCTTGTGTTTCCCTTTATCAGCTTTTACCTAGTTTAAATTTTCTGGAAAGTAGGATGTTTGCTCACTGCAGTCTTTCAGTAAATATACTTTTTTTTAAAAAAATGTATACCTACTGAAATACATTAAATCAACATATTCTTACATAGGTCTGAGTTGGATTTGAGGATAAATCCTCCTTGATGATTTTTTCTCCTCCTTATACATTAAAATTTGATTCCATAAAGCATGCAAATTATGCCACTCTGTTCATGACTGACTGATTAATAGGATATTACAATTCAAACTGCTGTCATGTGATACAACTTTTAATGTGTAAGACTGACTGTGCTACCAGAAAACAGCATAGATTAAGTTTTACTTCTTTTAGCTGCCCCCTCCCCCCTTTTCCCCCAAGTGTTCAACAGCAGCATGCACCCTGCACTGTATGATGGATGTAAGGAATTGCAATGTAGAACAGATCGGTCTCGGGAAGTGAGCAGTGTTTAAAGACAGTCAGAGAAGACATGTGGTGTGCTGGTATTCTTCTAAAGCTAAGACAGAAATGTTCTGTGTTTGGAGCAGGTCCAAAGTCAGGAGTTTTATAGGTGTTATTGAGCTATGAGTTTTCAGAGATGTGGTTGAGTTTAGCTATTGCAGTAGATTTGGTGCTGGAACTGGATTCCAGAGTGACCTAATTATCCCTGCTGAGGACACTTATCAATAAGTAACTTGTGTAGTGCTATTGGATAGCAAGTTAAAGTCATCCAATAGGAAAATGTTTGAGTCAGACTACAACAAGAACTGATCCTCTGTTTACTTTAGGTCTAAATGTGCAACTTCATGCACATTTAGACCTAACTGGGCACTAAATGCCCATGTTGACCTAATTTCTGATTGCACAAGACTGCACCACGTGGTTATGTGAGTGTAAACAGAAGCATTGCCAAACAGAAGGTCTCATTTTTGAGGTTCAATTGTTTTACTGAGGTTGATACCCCCTAGAGGACACCTGAGCTCACTCACATGAGACACCAGCTGAAAGCTTCTCTTAGGAAACTAGTCCACTGAGCCTGTGTGAAGCGCCAGTGTTTTCATTTTCTCTGCATATAAAAACACTGCTACAATTCTCTGTTTAACCGAGGGCTTTGGTTTGTGTTTGATATATTTGTACAGATGTTTTATACCCTGAGAAATAAAGAATATTTGGTATAAAAATATGTTGTGTTTGAGTGCTTAGTGGCAGACTGAGAATGTGTGTGTATATAAACTCTACTCCCACAGGCTGTAAACAAGACTGAGGTTTCATTTTAAGGTGCATGCATGTTTGAAATGAGGGCAGTAGGGCATGCAGCATTTTAGCACCATTGCTTGAATGCAGAACGGTTTTGAGTTTGACAAAAGTCCAAACTCCACAGAAAGTACCTGAAGTCCAGAAAATAACTACGAGCACCAAAAAGGCATGAAAAACCTTAGGAATACTGGAAAGCTTGAAGGAGACAACACACTCTGGCAGGTAAGAAGAACAAATTCAGGTATATATGCTGAGGAGACTGATGGCTATCTGTAAACATGTGTGAAGGACCACACGGCTGAGATATTTGGCGGGATGGAACATGCAAACTAACAAGGCCAGGAAATAAAACTGACAACAGTGTAAACAGACTAAGAATCATAAAGTAAAACAGCACATGACTTATTATTGCTTTCTTTGGCTTCCTCTCAGAGTCCCAATACATGCTTTTGAGGTTAAATGGTGATTCCAAACTGTCTACATGTGTGTGGAGGTGAGAGTGTGTGATGGTCAGTCTCTTTGTGTTAGCCCAATGATGGACTGGCACCCTCCTGCCCTCGCCTTGTGCCAGCTGGGTTAGATCCCAGCCTCTCTATGACCCTGAGTTAAATAAGCAGTCAAGAAAACAGGCCAGTGGTGTCAAGCGTGCATTCACTCAAGCCCACTGGATAGCTTTGCCACTGATTAATCATTAGTCATTAATATTTTGGGGTTTTTCAATAAAATCCACTGCTACTCCTAGTGGGCACTTGTATGGGTGAGAAAATGCATGGAAAGTTAAAAGCATTTCTAGAGTTGATTGCCTGGATGGGTGGCATCTTGTGTAGTCAATCTTTTGTGTCTTTAACTTTATATCAAGCTTTCTTAACATTAAAGGAAATCTAAGCTATGGAATTTTTTAATGGAATCAAACTGAGCTTCATATGGCCCATTAACTGAAGGGAGTTTAACACCCCTGAAGTATGAAATAGTTCGTTTACAACATGTGGTTTATATTTGTGTGTTTTGTCAAAAAGGAGGTTTATAGTTAACTTTCTAAGTTAACTTTTAAATAAGCAGACCCTCAACTACTTTGTTAGAAAGTACGAGCGCCTACTAACATGTTTGTTCATGTTGTTTTTGCTGATGTCGTGTTCCAGCTTGCTTTGTGATGTTACGCTCAGCTGATGAACATCAGGACAGTGAGATGAAAGATGTGAGCAACGTCTGAGGGCATAGAGACCAAACACAGATACAGACAAATACACACACACACAAAGAAAGCCTACAGAAAGTCATCCAAATTCAGACTGGATCATTGTAAACAGACTCTCTGCTTCCAGGCCCTTACGGTTATGCAAGAGCTTTATTTTGAAGGCTGTCATGTGACATTTGGTTAGTGGTCTGTCTCAGCTCTTGGAGACTCTGTGTGTGTGTATAGGAGAAAGTGATTGTAAATCTTACTGAGATACAAACTGCTTTGCTCCACATGACAACACAGTTAGTGAATAAAGAGGCGGCCGACTTTGTTCTCCTTAGGTCAGCTGCTCTGTGACTCGAGCAGTGCCAGGTCCTGTTGGATGATCAGCTCCTGACACAAATTACAGCCTGTTTTCCAAAATGCAATAATGTTATTCCCTTATTTCATGTCAGTTCTGTTTTGATGGTTTTTATGTGCCAACCGAACCTCGTAGGAGCAGTAACAAATGATTATGTAATTCTGCAATCGTAGTCAAAATGTAATACAATACCCCCATTAACTATGCTTATGATAAAATGCACAACTGACTAAAAACACATGTCACGAAGGCTGACACATCACTAGTTTTATAAAGCCACTGACCTCATGATGAGGTCTTAAAAGTGTTGGTGATGCCAGTTCTCAGAGGTTCCCGAAGCTTTCCGTGTTTTTGTTGCATTAGTCTTATCGAATTGCTCAAGTTTCAGATTTGTTTGGTTTACCATTCATAGCCACATCCTGTGTCCAGCTGGTGTTTTTAAAGACTTAAAATGATTAAAATTGTACACTGTGAAATTAGTATAAAACTGCTGGTTAACTTAATAAGGTGCAAAATAAGATCATGCTGCAGTTGCATTAATGTTACTGTATTAGGCAGATGTTTTATCAATATGATGATATTCACACAAGAAGCAATAAGAATGGAAATCGGTAATACACATGAGAGTGCATTTATGCTAATAAATGTTACAGTCACATGTTCACAAAGCTGCCAGTATAGTCAATGGTTTAAGTGTTGGCTCCAATTCATTTTATAATTTTATAGCCCTCTCTGTGTGCGTGCGTGCGTGCATGCGCGCGCGCGTGTGTGTTATGTAACCAAAAAAGGAGCCAAAGTGACATCAGTGCTGACTCTTAATGAGCAGAGCTGAAATATGATCTCCACTTTCCTAACAAGCTATAAACCCAATCAATGTGTGTTCTGACAGCTGCTGTATGTATGTGTGTGTGTGTGTGGGCACGCGCATGTGCTAAACAGATGGGCAGGAGTAGATAGAAAAACACAAATAAATACTTGATCAGTTAGTGACAGAGTGAGAATTAGAGATCTTTAAAATCCAGTTTTAATACATTAGAAAACTTTATGTAAAATTAAGAAATAAGAGATGCCTCCTGCCACATTAATCAGACTCACTAAACTATCTCCAGAGATGCAGGCTTGATAACAAGCTGGACTGTCCCTCTTCTCTTTAGTCTGGAGGACACGGCGTCCATGATTTCTGATTACTGAACACTTTTTCTCTGAGATACTCGTCCTCTCCAACATGCTCTTTTTAGACCCAATCATATAAACCCAATCAACTGCCAGTTAGCATAACATTAGTTGCAAAATGTTCCTACAGCTTGTCTCTTTTTTTAGTACCACTTACTTTTACAACCCTTTAATTGCCCTGTCTGAGCTTTCTTTGTTTTAAGTGTTTATGTCATCAAATTCAAAAGAATTTACATGAAATGATAAATGTCACAGTTTAAACGTTTTTGTTTTCTATATTCTTTTGTGAAACAATATAGGTATATGAGATTTGCAAATCACTGAATTCTGTTTTTAGTTGCATTTCACACAGCATCCAGTGGGATTGTGTATTATGGAGACAATAGTAATGACAGGGCAATCTTCAAAGATAACATTTTTTGTACTGAATAAAGAAACAGGACATAATCTGGACTGCATTAAGCAATCCTTTAAAACTTACTTGCTGCGGTAAATGATTTTTATTTTAATGTAATTTCTAGCAAAGTTGATAACAACCAGCTGCTTTCGTTTTGAGTGCTCAGCTTGTCTTTGTTAAGTAACACTAATAGTGTTGCCTTGCTGACAACATTATTAGTGTTACTTCTTTTTTATACTGAATCCAGGTGTTATCCATAAGAAAACATCTTGCAACTAGCTGACTCAATAGTTTACAATCATGAGAGGCTATCATTTTTACTGAAGGGTTTTGACCTTTTTCCACAGAGTGCAGTCACAATCAGAAAAGCACAAGAGTGAGGCTGAATGGCTGATTTATATTTAGCGTTGCTGTTTTTGTTTCAGGTTCTTGGTAGGGTGGATGCTGGCCTGCTGACCATGACCATGACTCATGACATTGTTAGTTACACCTGTGTTTTTCCTGCCATGGCGAGTCAAAATATCTTCTGTAAGTAAAGCTCTTCTGTTATCTGCATCAGACAGGAAAACAGCTCAAAAAGAACCAGATGTTGTATCCATCTACACTGATTACTGGAACTAAAAAATAGATTATGACTATGGCTTATACCCAGCAGCTGTTAGTCAGACATTAGTAAGACATCTACGTACAGAAATGTAAAAATGAAAATTTTCATAGAGCTCCATGCACTACTGTGAAACTGTGAAAAACTAAGCATAACCATAGTAAGGTTGGTCTTCTGCACTATTTGTGATACTGTTCACCCATTTACACATCCATCATTTAGGTGTCTCCAGCACCAATTGACAATGGACGGTGGTAGAAAACCTTTGCAGGCACAGAGGGAACATGCAAATGTCATACAAAAAGGCCAGAGGAGATCACAAAATACACAGCAACAACTTAATCTACACATTGTGACAATGAGTGGATTTTCCCCTCGCAATGATCCGCACAGACCCACTGTTCAAACACGCTGACACACGCTCCTGGAATCTTTACTGAACGAGTGAAACTGCTGCCTGAATGGACTTTATCTCTGGCCATTCACCTGCTCTCAAACAAATATGCTCTTTCCTTTTTTTTTCTCCCTTTCCGTATCACTTTCCAGTCAAATACACTCTCTCCTCTCTTGGTCTCTCTCTGCCCTCTTGCTCACATAGTTTATGAGGATAACCCATGAGGGAGAAGGTGCCATATAGCATTTGAGTTGAGAAACAGTGTGACACACATTCAGTTTATACACCTTCCTCCCACTTTCCAACTCTTCACATTAATACAGCTCATCTGTGAACTGCTAACAACAGCTGACGACTGTAACCGCCATAAAATCCCTGTAACCGCCCTGGAAATGCTGTGTATTTAATAAATGTGTTATTTCAAATGCCACTAAGCCTTTATATCATGGCCTCCATGATATAAAGGCTTAGGGGTCACCAGCACTGTGAAAACTTGAAGAAACACTTTTAGCTTGAAGTAATTGTTTTCTGCATGACTTCATCAGTCCCTCACATCCTTGCTGGGGAACTCTGGCCTGCTCTTCTTTACAACACGGCTGTAGGTCATTGAGGTTTGTTGGGATTTGTTTATGCATAGCTCTCAGTCCCACCACCGCATTTTAATCGGCTTGAAGTCTGAACTGTCATTGCAACACCTTGAGTCTTTTTTTAATTTAGCCGTTTTGTTTTAGATTTGTTGGCATACTTGGACTCATTGTCCTATTCCAGTTTCAGCTAGGCTTTAGTTGTCAGACAGATGACCTCACAATGAATACTCTGG